ATATATATATATATATCACTTTCCTGTGTTTGTTTTGTTTGTTTAGGTTGAAATCCCTTTGTAGGCAAGGATAAGTTAAATGTTGATATTAAAGAAGAAACTTAAAGTTCAATCTATTGTCGTGTTAGGTAACATTGTTTTGATAGGGTGTGACATCGAAGAATGGATTTTAAGTTTTAAATATTGTTATGAATTTAGGTTATTCAATTTTTAGACTTATGTATGGGCTTTGAAGTGTCAAATACTTATATGCTGCTTTACGTTTTCTTTTATTTAAATCTTAAATTTAAAGTTAATTTGAATATGTGATACTTTTTATGTACTTAAAAAAAGGATTTTGAAAACTCCACTTCTTTTATTTTCAATTGTGTCACAAATAGGGTCTTGTGTGGTGATGGTCAATAAGTTTTGGATATTCACGAGGGACTTTTGTTTCTTAAAGTAGGTTTGTATATATGGGTTTGTTGGTTCAAAAAACCTTTAACATGAATCAACCACAATCGGGTTTAACAGATTAAAATTGAACCAATCTAATGATCCAAACTTAAATTGAAGCTCTACCATTAAGTTAGGTTAACTAGTTTACGTGTCAACTTGCACCCACTTATCCCCCACTCTTGCTATTTTAATTAATAATTAATTAATTGTACAATTATGATATTTATTAATTTACCATCAACATACTTAGAGAAAATATTTGCATGATTCTCTACTACATTGTCATATCAATACATTAATATTGACATGATATTTTGCTATAAGAACTAAATTGGTGATATACTCAATCAAGATATTGAGTTAGTGAATTACTAGTTGAATTAAATATACATATATGTTCTTATATATATAACTTATATTAAAAATATAATATAAAAGTTATTTTTGTCACACATAAGTTGATAAGATATGTTGGTACAGTAATTTATTTTCTTTTAAGAATTCAAGGGACTTGAGTTCAATTCATTTTTAAAGAAAAAACTGCTTCAACGCACATCTTGAATTAAACACATTTTTACTAATTGGTCATGTCCGAGTTTAATGAGATTAAATTTTCACAAAAACATAGTAGTAAGGGATTAGAATAGAATTTTGATGATAATATAAAATGCATTTTCACCATTGTGTTGGATTTGAGTTTAATAAGACTAAATTCGTGTAAAAATAATTATAAAAACTAAAATAGAGATTTTAGAACACTATATATTACATGAATTATGTTCACAGATAAAAAAATATAGAATTCAACAATAATAAAAAGACTAAAAGATTAATTAAATTATTAATTTAATAATTTTCATTTTGTATTTTTTCACAACTTTTAATTTTAATTAATTTTTTATTAATTAAAAAGGTTAACTGCGTTGGTTTTCAAAATCTCTCCATGATTAAGGTAGACTTTCAAGAATATAACACTTGCAAATGAGTTTGATCTTTACTAAAAGGATAGACCTTTTATTGGTGTTTTGCATTAGCTTATCTGTTAGTGTTATTTATTTCTTAAACATACTATAATTTTAAATCTTTATATTCAACAACTATTTATTTTCCAAATAAGAGGCGTGACATCATCTTTCACATCGAATCATTTGTTTTTAAAGCCTTCATTGAATTGATTAGATAAATTAGGCTGATCATTAAAACACACTTGATTCGGAAGATATTGGAGGTTAGATATATAAAGTTAGGCGTGGCTAGTGGCTACGAAGACCCAGTCAAATGAAAAATTGTTCAGCCTAGAATAGGCACTCCATTCATGAACACTCATTATCTTCTGAATCATTCAATCAAGTGCCCCATTGTCATTAATTGGCGTCCACGCTCTAATTCATGTTTTCATTCATTGACAGTTTTCAATCTTTGTATTCCCCATTTATTTAGAACAGTTCAATTTGCTAGCTAGCTAGCTTGACCAAAATTAATCAATGCACGCCAAACTTTAGGTTGGGAGGATCGATTTCCATGCAAGAAATTAAAGAAGGAAAAAGGGTTAGGTTAGGTGTGAGTAAACTCAGTGATTTAATAGTGCTTGTTAGGTGTGTGACATACATACATGCAATTAAGCCACTGGGAATTAAATATTCAACATATTGGATGCCAATAATAATCTTTATATCACTTCTTACTTTACATATGTTAATTCTCATTATAAGATTAAAATGGCATTACACATGAAAAAAAACGTATTAACTAGCGTTTGGATATATACCAAGGTTCCAAATTTAGATCAAGATGCCCCACACGGTGTGAACCTAGTGGACTGACTCATTGATCTAGAAAAGTTGTGGAACCGAACATAACAGGGTCAGAAAAAGAACAAGCACCGCTATCCAATTCTGAAGATCCAAGAAGGTAAGGTAACACAGCATATTCTGCTTTTGGTTTGGACTTTACACTATCCATCGTTTTCGGTCCCCCATCTACGATGATATTTAACTGCCACTTTCATCATTATAAACTCAAAAACAAAAACAAAAAACAGGGGGAATATGCAGTTCTTATTTAGCAAAAATACTACAGACAAATTAATGCTAGCGATGTACACTGATTTTTTTTGCACACATTTTACTATAAGGTCAGTATTGAGATATGGGATCCACATGATATTTTTAAGTTCAATTTGTTTGTATTAAAATAATGTATCATCAACATAAGTTATGTGCTGCAATTACAGAATATTAATTGCAGAAAGTATGAGATTACATGGTATTCACTTACTATCATTAATACTTTAAGGCTATATTAGTACATGAACAGAAACAGTATTCTACTCGAGAACCTTAAACTAGAAGGGTGTACTAGTAATTGCGCATGTAACATACTTCATCTTTACTCTACTCTACATGACGGTCACTCCTAGTCTAGAAAATCCAACGACGGTCCCTTAAAGCAACTGGGACACAAAGAATCTCAGAAAATTATGGAAAAAATAAACGGAACAAAACGGGTGGCATGCCTGCTGTCTGTGATGAGTGCTGAGTTGTTGTGAGTAGAGAACAATAGGAAAAACAAGAGAAGCAAATGAAAAAGCAATACTTTTTCTTTTTCTCTTCTTCCAAAGACCATCACTTTTAAACACAACAAATGGTGGTGTAAATAAAATTCTGGGGGCCAAGTGATGCAAATTCTGAGACCCACGTAGGTACGAAGACAAATCATCAAAAGCATGGAAGTGGCAAAGTGAAGAAAACACAGCCCATGAGCCATCATCATCCCTTTTTGCTTTTCTATGGTGTCTCGTGGTGTTTCTAATTCCCTCTACTTTACAAATTAAAGAGGTTAGAACTGTGTGCTACACTGCACTGCACTACTAATTGTCCTCTCTGGCTACAATACAACTCTATGTTACCTGGTTCCCTTCATGCTTTGCACTGTGGATCCTGTTCTGTCACTTTTCACACACTGTGGGTTCAGTTGAGTTGGAATAAGATAAAAGACATGAATTCTCTGAGGTTTCTCAAGTGACACCATGTCTTGGACTCTTGGTAATGGTAATGGTAAGTTTAATGCTTTTGGCGGTGCTGCGGTTACTTATGTCAATAGAAAGAAGCCATTTTTCTGTGTGTTTTGGCTTTTTCCCCTTTCTCTCTCTCTCACTATTTAGTTTTTCTCTTTAGGGCGAGAACTCTTGGTTTGTACTTTTAAATTTTAAAATTAAAAATGCTTTAGGCAATTTCTCTCTCTCTCTCTCTCTACTAAAGTGATTTGGGATTCAAATATTTTGAGGAAAAAAAAAATCAAATAGCATTCCTTATGTTCCATGCAATTTGTATGAAACTGCAGTAATTCTTTAAGGGGAGAAGTAGATCAAGTTAAGAGATTGCAGATGCTTATTTGGTTTGTTTCCTTAGTTACAAGGCGAAAAACACTGTTTTCAAGGGAAGAGCCGAACTTGCGGAAA